CAGGTACGCCACCACCTATTCCGTCCGGACAAGTTTGCTTTCATTGGTCTGCTGCGAGAGACATGCAAATCCCGAGACCACGCCGTAGCGGGTGCACCTATAACAATATTCGTACAGCAGTATACCCTATCGCACTGCACGAGCGCGGTAATAATATTCGTATTATATTATTATTTCGTCGTCGACGTTTGTAATCGTCCAGAGTGCCAGTTACGGGGCAACTCGGGGCGCGGACGACAAAAAAGTTGCTCGCCGCATCGGAGCTCGTAGATTCGCGGCGTCGTCGGCCGACTATACGGTGTGTGTGTATACCATATACCTAAACACGGGTATACGTAGTAACCAATAGTCGTTTATTATTAGGCGYATCTGCAGCAGTCTGCTGTCTTCGGATTCCGATTATCGTCAGCTAGCTGCGTACCAATAATTTGTCGTGATAGTAGAGATCGTCGTCATGTCCGCCCGAACGATCTATCGATCAGCCACGGCTGCCACCGCCGTCGGTGCGCGCGTGTTCGTGAAGAAATTCCGCGTCGATTTCTCGCGTACAGTGCCGTCGTCTGTTGAGATGTAGACCACTCGCGAGCACATCGCCATCGCTGTTGTTGTATCGTCAACGGAAAAACATGATCGGCGGGTCCGGCAAGAGGGGCTCGGCGGCCGGCAACAGCAAGCCTCCGTCGTCCACGGCCACTGCCGTGGCCGCCGATGACAAGTCGGCTGCTGCCACTGGCAGCACGTCGAAAACCGACGACAAAAAAGACGAGACCAAAGGTGAGCTTACACATCCCCTATACCCCGGCATCCCGGGATTTGAGTTTATACGAGATTATAGGTAGGTACTATAAATTATATTATATACTGATATTATGAAACCCAAATAAGATTTTATGAACAATTTATCCTCGACGAATACTGCGACTTTTATACGGCCATTGACCAATAATCTATAATAATTAATAATTATATATACCAGAGAGTGGTGATGGTGCGAGATCTCAAGTCGAAGGTGACTGAATCGAAGAGGTATATATTTTATGTGTTGGGTACTTGAATATATTATATATTAGTATTTAGATATAATATAATGATAACAAAATTCAGAATTTTCTTTTTTATGCTTATCCCGTTGTGTTCATTAAAATAATATTATCATACAGATAAAGTATTTTGATTGTTATTAATTTATTRATAATCTTTGACATAMAATAATTTTTATTGATGGTTTTCCACTTTTTTTGATCGAATTGTACTTTTTTTTATAAATTTTAGTGTTAAAGATTTTGCTTAACGTGTAAATACATTTTATTACTTTATTACGACAATGATTTTAGTTTGCATTACCTATGCTTTTTGAGAAATAATGCTGAGATGATAATATTATATGTACCTAATATACATTATTTATCTAGTATATCTATTCAAATCGTAAGGCCAATAAGTGAAGTATATCAATGTATTATAATTTAATAATTAGAAATTAGCTATATTATAATCAATACAACCTATAATTCATATTTGAATATAAATTAGTTTGTAA